GGCTAGAGTAGGAAGCGATGGTAGTGCAAGAGGGTAGAGAGAGGACCTTGTCGTCACCTACCACTCTCACTACAACGGCTAGAGTAGGAAGCGATGGTAGTGCAAGAGGGTAGAGAGAGGACCTTGTCGTCACCTACCACTCTCACTACAACCTAGAGTAGGAAGCGATGGTAGTGCAAGAGGGTAGAGAGAGGACCTTGTCGTCACCTACCACTCTCACTACAACATCGATTCCAAATCTCCCCGAGAAACTAAGAAAACAAGTGTATCTTTGTCGAACTTTCAGCTATAATAACCCTTACAAAATCGGTTAAAACCCAACATAAACACGTTGTTGTAAGAAGTGAAAATGGAAAAACTAAAGAAAGCTGATAACACAAAAGGAGAGCAGAGTTTCTGGCAAGTGGTGGAGCATGAACTAATCCTCCACTGAGAAGTTATCTCCCACCACATCGTCCGCACCGCCTTGGGCCACTTCTTCCAATCCAAGATCGATTGTCGCCTTGTGCATCTTGTTAGCTTTTCTGCTATTAGATGCACCTGTCCAGAATAAGGTAAAGCGAGCAACATTAGATGTAGTGATTTGGGGAGTAACTGAAACATCGTTGAAAATGAGATTGTTATGATGATTCCATATCCACCAATAGAAGCATGGAAGGAGGACCCTCCAAAGAGCTTTGAGATCAGAATTGGCCAGAAAGTTTCCCTTAATTGAGGTTAGGGAAACTAGGTCCTGAGGCCAATTCCTTAAGGTTGCTTGGGGGAGGAGGATGGACAATGCAGTTCTTGAGAAGGAGCAGGTGTTGAACAAGTGGTCATGAGACTCCATAGCCTGATTACATAAAGGGCAACTGGGATCGCCAACCCTTTTTTAGACAAGTTGTCTCTGGTTTGCAACATTCATTTACTTAGGATCTAGAAGAAGACCTTGACCTTTAGCGAGACAGGGGATTTTCAAATAATGTTGTGAAGAGAGAAGAGGGTACCTCCGTGGTTTAGGATAGAGTAGAAGGACTTGACTGAATATATGCCCGAGGGGTGATAAGGCCACCATATACCGTCTTGGTCGGGGGCTCCTGTGGGCTTAATAAGATTGAGATATAAGAAAAGCGCTGCAATCTCAGATCTTTCCATTGTAGAAGTTCCTCTTCTGAGGATTGGGTGTCACGTCCAAGAATTGTGAAACATTAGGCCTTGGGATTGGGTGGAACATGCAGGAGAGCTTGGTTAAATGGTTGCATGTTGATAATTCCTAGACCATCTTCTTGTTTAGCTTTGCAAATGTTACCCCATTTAACGAGACATTTAGGTTTGGAGGTCTGCTGATAGCTACCCCATAGAAAGTTTCTTCTGATTTTATCGATAGCCTTGATGAACCAACTAGGAAATTTAAAGAAGGACATAAAGTATAGAGTGAGGGAAGAGAGAATGAAGTTGAGTAGAGTAAGTCTACCTCTAATAGAAAGAGATTTGTTTTTTTAGAGTGCTAGCTTTTTGGAGAAGGAATCTTAGAGAGCTTGTCGTTCGTGTATGGTGAGGGAACCTCTGTTGAGGGGGAGGCCGAGGTAGATGAATGGGAGAGAACCTACTGTGCAATTTAGAATGTTGGCTAGACGGACTCCTTCGTGGGGAATTTTACCAATGTAGAAGAAATTTGTTTTGGTGTAGTTGACATTGAGACCAGAGATGTTGGCAAAGATATAAAGGATGGATTTAAGAATGACTAGATCCCTGTTAGAAGCCTTACTGAAGGTAAGGGTATCATCGGCGAATTGGAGGGATCTGATGGAGTTGAACTCTCCTTTGAGATTGAGCTCAGAGAGGTCCCCTGAAGATACGCTGGACCTGAGCATCTTGTTAAGAATATCTACAACTAAGAGGAATAGCATAGGCGAGAGTGTGTTACCCTGTTTAATGCCCCTATAGCACTTGAAGAAGTTGGTAGGGGAGCCATTGACTAGTGCAATAGATTTAGATGAAGACATGATATGTTAAATCCAAAGGCACCACTTAGGACTAAAGCCTCTGGCTTTGAGCGGAGTAAGAAGAAAGTTCCAATTAACATAGTCAAAGGCTTTGAAGAAATATACCTTAATAGCACACAGTTCCTTCTTACTTGAGGAGAAATGGCTGATCATTTCATGGGCTAGAAGGATAGAATCAAGGGAGGACTTGCCGCTTTGAAAAGCTGCCTAAAAATAATCAATGAGAGATTAGAGGAAGAGACTGAGTCTATTGGCTAGAATTTTGGTAAAGATTTTGATAGAACTGTTTATCAGGCTGATAGGTCTGAAATCCTTGGGATTATTCGTTCCATCCTTTTTAGGGATGAGGCAAATATGAGTAATTGATGTTGTGGAGAGGATGAGCATCTGAATGAAGAGATTGGATGAAGGAGAAGATGTCATGTTGGATGGTGGACCAAAAACTTTGAAAGAAGAGGATGGGTAGGCCATTAGGCCCCGTTTATCTGGGTGGAGATCGAAAACCACTTTCTTGTTTTCTTCTATGGTGAAAGCGGAGTCCAATGGTGAGAGGTCAATGAAGCTAGGAGGATAGAGAAGATTCCAATTGATCTCAAACCTGGAGTCTGATTGGGAATGGAAGAGGTTGGAGAAGTAGTCATAGAAGTCTTGTTTAATGTCTCTGTCGGAGGAAATGAGGGTGTTATCGATGAGGAGGTGAGGAATGAAGTTTTTCCTTCTGTGGAATGAGGTTGTTTTGTGGAAGAAGACAGAGTTATTATCTCTCTCTTTGAGCCATTGAATCCTGGATCTTTGTTTCTATTGGATCTCTTCAGCCCTAGCCAACAGGAATAGTTGTACTTTTAGTTTAAGTCTGAGATGAGATTCTAGATCAGAGAGGGCTCTAGATTCTTCTAGGTGATTGAGGGAGTATAGTCTGGCCATGGAGTTGAGTTTGAGTTGCTTTGTGGATCCAAGAATGTGTTTTTTCCACCATTTGATTCTCCTACGGATGAGCTTAAGTTTAAAGGAGAGGGATGCCGATTGATCTCCATTGAAAGAGAAGGAGTTCCAACATGATTGAATAAAGAGGGTGAATGATGGAAAGACTAACCAGAATTTTTCAATCTGAACACTGAGGAGAGCTGGGCGCCTCCAGTGTCCAGGATGATGGAGCAGTGGTCATATCAGGGAGAATAATAGGCGAATTATATCAGAAATGGGAAATGAGATTCAAAATCTGAAGATAGGAGGAACCTATCTAGCCTAGTAAGGACAGGATTGACTCTTTGGTTAGACCAAGTGAATTTTCTCCTACTGAGGGGGGAGATCAATGAGATGGATAGAATCAATGAGATTTTTAAAGGAAGAAATATCTTTAATTGAACCAGATCTACCACTTCTCTCGTCTAGACTCGGCTTTTTCTACTTGTGTTATGAGTAAAAAGAGCTAAGGAGATATTTGGTAGCTAGAACGTAAACCAGTCGCTTTTGATGTTTACTTTGTTAAATGTGCGAAAGTATGAAAGTAAACACATATACAATAGTATCCCATAAGATGTAGTTTAGAGTTCACTTCCTCTATAGAAAAATCATCATGAAAAAAATTACTTTATTAATAGATTCTCCTTTTTTTGTCACTTATGGCTAGAGAGAACTAATCACTTTTGCAAATGAAACAGTACTCATCACAATTATATTATCATTAACATTATATAGTTATTCTATTACAAAAGTAATTATAAATTAAGTATATAATAAATATATCATACAAAATTTTCAGCTTACAAATTAGCGTGGATACTAGATGGTCAAAAGAGTATAACTATAGCCCTTAAGTGAGTTATTCTTCTTCAAAAGAGCGACGAAGAGTTTTTTTAGCATGGTATATATGTCTCATATTTAGCTTATTTTTATACTAATTAAATATTTAAATTCAACTTATGTACGTGTAATTTGATAATAACCAAATGGATAAAGCACTGTTGTCACACCAACTGGTTTTTTAGGTAATTTGTCTGCAAACAAAAACCTTATTTCACTCGGGTGCTGACATTGATGCGCTTCCACACTTTCAGTTCAAGTTTTAGCAAACACTCCCAAAGTTGTAGCAGATAACTAGAATCAACAACAGAACTAAGTTATCAGAAAAACTTATCTCCCAACAACCCACCTACAAAAGCTCTACATGATCTCTGTTTTAAAAAAATTTAAAAAAAAATCATGTAGGACGCGTGGATCAGAAGGTGAGCAAATTAAGAAAATCTGTAGATTCCATCCCAAAACTGATCACCAACTTAACAATCACTTTTGAATCCATACATGCATTCAACATTTACTCTATAAAACTCAATATTGACGACTATAGTTCTACACCAAAGAGAAGAAAAGCTTCAAAGCTTAATTAAACTGAAAACATGGCCTCCTCCTCCTCCTCCACTTGTTGGTTTCTAATCTCATTGCTTGTCGCCTCACTTAGCATCGACTCAAGCACCGCAGCTCGCCATCTTTTAGACACTCCGGCATCACCAGCAACGCCCACGATACCTACAATTCCGACACTGCCAAAGCCAACATTGCCACCATTCCCTACAATTCCTTCACTGCCAATGCCGACTCTGCCACCAATGCCAGTGATTACATTGCCTAAGCTTGCAACGCCACCAATGCCTGCAATTCCAGCAATCCCGGCAATTCCTACTGCACTGCCTCCTCTTCCTTCTGTCCAGATACCTACTATCCCCTCAATCCCTTCAGGCATTCCGAGTATTCCTGGTGTCCAGATACCTCCCATTCCTTTTCTTTCCCCCCCTCCAGCAGCCACTGGGAGTCCATGAAAGCTTGGTGTCGATGTATTTATGGAATCCATTTAGCGTGTGATGTGTGGTTATTGATCTTGTAGGATTGTAGTGTTTGATTGTGATGTGGGGTTCTTATGGTTTGCGTTTATACATTATGTAGCTTCGTGTATGATTCTCTGTAATACTTCATTGATTTGATTACGAGCTTCCTTATATTTGTTAATAAATTAAAGTTATCATTATGTTGACACGATATGGTATCTGCAATATGTTTATTTGATCACTACCACAGGGAAAATGAGAGAATTGAATTTGAAGGTTGCACTGCCCACAATGACTCTGTTCTACCAAGATTCAGCACTACAGAAACTGTTAAAATAAAACTTCCGAGTTTGAACAATGAATGAGATTGCAAACATATAGAAGTTGCAACTATAATTGATCATCTATCTAAGCTTGGCGTCCAAACATGAGGACTTTCATCAATTTATAGCCGAAGCATCTCCTTGGATTTCTTCCCAGCAATTCATGGATAACTTACGTGCACCTGGAATGGGTTATTTATGGGTATTCCAGGCTCCGACTCCAGAAATCTGAACCTAACTTTCCTGGAACTAAACTTATCCCGATCACTGGTAGATTATCAAATGAATAGAGGTTCAAGTTTTGTGCTTCAATGGCATTTGCTTAGTTCCATGTATACTTGGAAAATAAGTGATTAGGTTGCAAAAGTTACGGCCATTATCCGATTGGTAACAGATGTTTTTTTATGCAAAACCTGTGACAGGTGCAGCAAGTGCCATGACGGTGCAATGTACGAGAAGTCTATGTTGGAAACCAAGATAGTAACTTATGGTACGCATACTTGGCTACAAATGGATTTCTGCCCTCTATTCCTCCTTCCAAAAGCCACTAGTGTATGTTCATCGTGTAGAATTGGCAACACAGTTGAAAAGTTCAGGAAAACAAGCACCGAAAACGGTTTGGAAGCCTGTCGGTCGACTGCGAGACAGCTGCGGTAGACCGAAAATGTGCACAGATCGTAGGGGGATTCTGGAGTTGGAGACGGTCGACCACCGCGGTCGACCGCCAGGGACCCTGTAGGATTCTAGGTCTCTGGAATTGGTGACGGTCGACCGCCGCGGGCGGCCGCCAAACCCTGTAG